CACACACACACACACACACACACACACTGGAGACTTTAAATGATCAAAAATAGAGAATATATCACGATCAACTCAAATAAAAGTATTTATGATGAATGAGAAGGGAAACTAAAAATCGTGATAATTGTGCGGAGCGAAACGCGGACACCTACCTCACTCAACAACAGTTGATAACTCTTTAATTCAATTATTTATATTTTAAAACACCACCTAGCTCCATTACCATTTAATCAATATATTATTCCCCAGTTCTATCAACCCCACTTCCTGTCAAACCCTTTTGTAAATGCAGTCTGTGGTCAAACCGAGGGAAATACATGATTCAGCCTGCAAACGAAGGGGAAGTGAAGTGTCAGGGAGCGCTCTTGTCGCTTAGCTGGTTGCTAGCCTCCCTCCCTCCCTCCCGGTGCTTTCAGCAGCTCTCCCCCGCCCTGGGTGTCTCTTCTCCCGTCACACTACAGCCGCCTCCCGCTCACTCGGTAGTTTGGCACCAGGCTAGCAGCAGGCTAGCACGGAGAGTCGAGGGCTGCTCCCTTTCGCCTCAGCTCGGTCACACTCGCCGCCGCACATTCCGCACCATGGCTGCCACGGACGTTGACGTGTTTTCGGTGAGTGGAGGCGCATTTATCCGGTTTTTAATCGGAAACGTTTGCTGAGTGCAGCCGCGGGAAGAGAACAGACTTCGGGGTTGTGATTAGTAGAAGTGTGGGTGTTAGCCGCTGTGTAAGCTAACCGAGCCGCCTCCCTCAGCCCCTCTGTCCGCTCTCTGGAGCCTGGTGTGGGGCTCAGTCGAGGTGGTGGCACTGGTCCCTGTCATGGTTCCTCTCACTTCACACAAACGGACGCTGCCATCGTTGAGCGAAACAATGTGCCACGTAACGTTTATTTCCGTTATTGGAATCACGTATGGCTGAATACTGGGGGTGTAGCGTGGGGAACAGTTCACAGTTTATGTTATTTACAAGTGGCTGCAAACACTCAAGTCTGCGAACACACGTTAACGCTTCAAGTCACAACACTCAGCGGCCAGCAAACACGTGAAAATGCTATAAAACTGCAGTTGGTTGCTGTTAAGTCAATGTTGTTCACCACAGTCCCTGTAGCATGAAGTGACTGCAGTTTTGTTGTGTAAAACTGCAGTATTACTTTGAATTAATACTGCATGATGCTCTCGCAATGTGTTCACATGTGGTTTCATTTTAACTTCCTCTTCAGGGGTGGAAAATTATTTTGAACCTAGTGGTTAAAATGCTTTAAAACAGGATATAGTTGTTATAAAGTCAATGCTCTGTACTACTGAGACAATAGGACCGTTAATATGTATTTATTTATGAGTTTAGTTGTGTAGAACTGCCATATTATTTGGATTTAGTCAACAGCACTTAACACTATATAATGTCCTATTTGGTATTTTGTGCAAAGTTAAACTTTTCTTCTTATGTTATATTTACTCCAAAGGCCATTTCATGACAGATGCAGAACTATTGCTGATACTCTGCTTCATTTCTCTGTGCGTGTCTCAGCAGTAGGTTGGGCACACAAGTATGCATGCATCCTGCATTATTTTCATTGTGCCAAACCCTGTTGTCATTCAAGTGTAACCGTTTTTTCAGCTTTATCATGGTGATGCAACACCAGCTGAACATAATAGCGACAATACATGATTGGGTAGGCAGCTCTGTATGTGGAGAATTTACAGTCACACATCAAAGCATGCATTATGGAGAACTCGACATTTTAGTGACGAGGCGAATGCACAGGGGGAGATTTCAAAAGGGTGATTAAGTTTTTGGCAGATGCCTGAGGAGATCCTTGTGGTGTGGAATTGGACAGTAAGCAGCACTGAGCTGCAGGGATAAAGAGATTAAGAACACACTCCGGGCCACTCCTTCCATTTATTGGTGCAACTCTTGTCTACGAAGAAAAAGAAGGAAGAGAGGATCCCAAAAAAAAAAAAAAAAAGGGTCCAGAGAAAGACATTGCACAGTTGACATTTAGGAACATGTCCAAGAAGGAGTTCGGGTTGGCGGAAGATATTGCGGGTTTGCGACTTCTTAACTGTCTCTTTTGGGATATACGAAATTGGAGGGCTGATTAATGAGAAAAATGCTGAGAATGCAGCGAAACAGGCCAGTGCTAGGAGCAGCATAGTTGCCTGACAGTCTGACTTCCTGTCTAACTTTTCGGAACTAAGTGAGACCATATTGAACAAACTCGCATGTGTGCGCCTGGCAGTTTGTGTATAGGGCACGCTCTTAATTATGTGCAGCTATTGATAGGGATGTGTGGTTGGTTGCATTGTTGGCCCACATCAATCCTGTCCAATGGAGGTTGTAGCTTTCGGATTACTTTCTAGGCCAGAGCTGCATGAGGTGATCGATGTAGCTAACAACTGCTATTGTTCTTTTCACTCACTGATTGCTTTAGAGTGTGTAGCATAAAAAGGATGTTGTATATGTCAGTGATTATGTAATGAAATGGCCTACAACATATTCATGTACAATGCTTGCTGACCCTGAAGAGTATCGTCTCTCCCGTGAGGCCTGCTTGCGTAAAATTAAATTAGCTTCACAAAGTGCTTCAAGGCAGGAGATGTGGAATGACACATTGTGGGGGAAGGCTTGTACTTTTAGAGAGTTGATTTGTTTGTTTGTTGTTAACTTGTGAACTCATAATTCACATATATTCTCCAGTTAGATTTAATTACAGAGTAATATGAATCAGTCTACATTTAATTCCAAACAAATCAGAGGACTTATAACACTGTCCCCTAAACCGGAAACCTTAGTGATTGCTTTCCCCGTCTGCTCGTTGATGAGGTCAGATTGTAGGTCGGGTTTACTGACTGTTTGTGTGTCATTAGTGTTGTAAGCTGTACATAGAACATGCAGGCCAAAATTGCCCAGAGGCAAGTTTGTCAAATCCAGTGTTGTAGATGAATAATGACAGCCCAGCTGCAGTCTGTGGTGATGAGTCAATATCCATGTATAGAATAGGTTCAAGTTTTTTTTTCTCAAAGACCAGTTCAGAGCTCAAAATGGGGATGCTCTAAAATAGCGTTCAAATACCCAAAGCTAAATGGAGATTTTGAGGCTGTACTATTTGTTGTTGATGTCATAAAAACCACCAGTGTTCTCTTTTGTTTGAATGAAAGAGTCACAAGTTTGATCCTCGTAACAACCACTGAAAACCATCAGCAGTCTGTTGCCTGTTAAAATATGGGTTTACAGCTCAGAGGGCTTTTATTATGTATTATTCACCTCTAATGGGATGTAGATGCGTTTTTCATCACTGTGGACACAATAAAAACTGCTTTTATTTACATTTGTTTCCGTTACATGGATATTTCTATGCTGAACAATGCAACTTGCACAAGTCATGAATTTGAATGCTCGGATCAAGTCAGTCTTGGCTCATTTGCTTGACGCTGACATGGCTGAGCCAGCACCAGCAGAGTGGACGTGGACATAAAACCGATAGAAAGTAAAAAAAAAAGGGATGGTCATTTTTCGGACATTTTATACCGTACAATAGTGAGTGTAATGCCAATTCAGTTGGGTTGTGATGTCTGTTAACATAAAAGACAGAAAAAGATAAAAAAGCATAAGGTTATTTTCTTGAGTCAAAACTATTTGCAACACAAGTATGTGCCAGATTTCTGTTTGCATCCTTTGTTTCACAAACACCTCACAATGAGTCACATAAGATTCTGAAATTACTAACTTCACTCTACTAGGATCCACATTTTTGTGCACTCTATGATTAAATCAACTTCACCTCTCCTCGGTCATGTTCATACCTAGTCTAGATCTTGAAACAGGAATGCTTTTCATCTTACTCCGTTCAGTGAAAGTAAGGAAACTGCATCTTTTTTAAAGGCCCTGTAAAGGTAAGTGTGCTTTACATCTGTCCCATAAAATGGTTCCTGTCTCTACTCCTGTCTCTCTCACTCATTTTCCCCTGTCGGGCACACAATAGATGACTAAATAAAGCTGAGCAGGACCATGCAATTTTTGTGTAGGAGTGTGAGACAAGACAGAGAGAGAGCGAATGCATCTGATTAGACAAAAATCAGAGAAAAACTTGTTTGTCTATGTGTGCTTGTGGATTCCTTGTGTGCTTCATCTGCATTTCAACCAACAACATTTTTACCATTACAACATCACCATCCGCACAAGTAGCAGCACGACAATGGCTACAGCAGCACACAAGGACAAAATCTGTAGGTGGGGTTTGAAATATTGCAATATAAATTACTAGTTGGCTGCATAAGATGATCTGTATATGTGTTTGTGCCAACCCACATCCAGGTAACAAAGGCAAGTCAGTGTTGCTTTTTTCTGCTTCTCTAGCTTGTAAAGCCATTTTCAGACGTGCACTCTGGAAAATGTTTGGAAAGGGTTGGATGTTAGGGTCTGGACATATTCTGGTGTTTGTTCTTCACAGAGAACGCAGCAGGAGATTGTCCGGCTCAGACACGTTCACAACAACAAAATGTCCAGATTAGGGGTGTAAGGCACACATTTATGGTGACACATCAACACTGGAATGGTCATCAAAAGATCACCAATCTCGCTCTCTTTCTAAGTTGACACCAAAGCAGCTTGATTTTCACACAACCCAGTCCAATTGTGACTAAGCAATACATGTCAATCTCCAAAAAACCCACCTCATCCTACAATTTTTTACCTCCTCTAGAAATAAGCGTCAGTAAATATTGTATTTAAGAGGTGGAAAAAGCCCAGTTAAGTGATCTGAGGGGAAAAATCCTTACATTTGATCTGGTCTATTAATAGCTGACTGTGGAAACAACATTTAAGGCAAACCAAAGTGCACCTCAATATCCTGTAAATATTTGAAGCACTTTTCAAAGACCCTTCCCCCCTCTGTATATCCCCCCCACATAGAAGCATCAACTGCAGCGATGTGTGTCGAAGTCTGTCAGGTTGCTGCTGTCCGTCCGGTGGAGGCTCACTGAGGCAGATGCTAGGTGCAAATACAGGTCAGACACAAGTCAGGTGGGAACACGGTAGAAGGTGGAAGATAAGCCGAGGGGGTGATAGACAGAATAACAACGGTGTCTGGTGAAAGATTGAACAACTGATTTGGAGGATTTTCGGTTCACATCAGGGCTGCTCACAGAAAAGGTCTCTCTTCATGGAGTTATCACGGTTTTGTCCTCAGTTATGTCAGGTTGAATCTGTGTCACATGCTGTATTTATTTAACCTTCTGGAAATGTGTTGTCACAGTTGGCTGCCTTGTGAGCATAGTTGAAGGTTGAGATGATTCAGCTTTTTGTTTTGACTCGTAATTCCAACAGCCGATTAGTGCTGGTAAAAATATAGGGAGATGTCTCTATAGCAGTGGAGTACATTGCAAATTAAAAGTGCTAATTCAGCGTGCTTTTCATGGAGCCAGTTTGCAGACATGTAATCCAACAATAAAAAACAAGCTAAAGTTGTAGCCTATAACATAATTCATGTTTTTTCTTTATGGGCTGGAGGAGGATGCAAGTCATTTAATAAGCAAAAATTTGGAAATGGGGCCGGACATGTTTCACTATCATTGAGTATTTTAAAGGCTAAACAATTGATTGCACCAGAAACATAATGGAAAAATGAATCCTCAATGAAAATAATAATTTAGCTTCTCATAGCTGACGCGAGAGCCTCTTTCTTCCAATGGTCAAAAAACCAACCAACACCCACTAACATCTGGCTTTTGTCTGCAGTGGGAATAGATACGATTGGCGTTCACTTCTTGGTCGGATGACTCTGCAGTAGACACAGGTTTTTATCGGCTCAGATTGGCGGTTATGGAAACATGACACCTTGGGAAAACGCGCTAATTTCTTTCACTTCTTTATTTTGGCAGTCTAAACGCTGATGCTGCACCTTCTCTACTGCAACATTATGATACACATTTGTGTACTTTTTGCTTTTTTACATCTTGGGAACAGTGATTTTTTTTCTCCCCTGCATGTCGTGCAAGATGCAACAGTGGTTTGGCAAGAGCAAGATTTTAGATTCAGTGTGTTGTCTCACATAACTCACCAGGAAAAAAAACCTAAATCTCATGTTCCTCATACTGGCAATGAGAAGGGAGTCAATCGCCTTTTTTGAGCTGGTTTACCCACGTTTAAAAAAGCTTTCTAAAAGCAATTATTAATTGTATTATTTGCATCTGTGCATTTTCTTCAGTTGCATGTCAAAATGTGAAAAACAAGGTGGTTCACATCAGCTGCAAACACACAACACTGTGAGTTGGCCCACATGAGTCGAGCCTCATTTCGTTCGGCGCAGCCATTTCCTGTTGGCCTGGTGATACAGTGGCCTGGGGACTGTGTTCTTTCTTGACCCAGGAGCAGTTACTCACAAGCTTTTCATGCTGCTGCTCTTCTACTTTCTGAAGTAGCCTGCATAGATTGAACAGATCAGTCACAGTTTTCTTAACCGTTCTTGTTGGTTGGTTATTTTCAGTATTTGCTGATTGGTGTAAATGCATTAGGAACTATGTAAGCCATCAGTGTTGTTATGCATTGTTGTTGAAATCAAGTGTGAGCACAAGATGGGAGTCACAGCTGGGTAATTTGTCCTTTTCTGTAGTTCTTTTGTCTGATCCTTTAAGATAACACTGATAGTCAGGTCCTACCTGTCAGCCTTGTGCAGACTTTGCAACTGCCACATGTGAAACCGGACATGAAAAAAAAACGAGCATGCATACCATTATTTATTCTTTCCTCGATAATAAAGCAAACACAAATGATCATTTTCTCTGATTTTAAACACTTCTCAGCGATCTCCAGAGTCATTGCACCGGTTTCCTTGCAGGCACGATACCAGAGGCCTCACCCTCCCCCTTAAGCAATCCATTCAGATATCTCCATGAGCATCATTCAGCAAACTGAATACCACAGTGAATAACAAACCAAGAATGATGGCCACTGCCACTTCCTCTTTCTCATCCCTGTAAACCCACGGCAAAGTGTATTCAGTCTCAAAACCAGCAAGACATGCATGTCAACATGAATAGGAGGTGCATCATGCCACGGAAACCATTGAACAGTTGCTTTTAGCATCTTAATAAAAGTTTTCCATCTTACACAGAAGTTTTTGAAAGTGACTACGCTGCTGTCTGAATTTCTATGAAGTATATTTCTTCATTTTGCTTGATGTTTTACAAACAGCACCACAGTTAAAAACATTCAAGGCATATTTACAGCTTGTATAGATTGTTTTGTTTAGATTATTTTGTGCTAAAGTGGTCTGACACTCACAGTGCTGCAGCTCAGCTCAGTTTTGCTCAGCTCAGATCCGATTACTTCAGCTGTGTTCGCTGACTAATTACACACATGCATGATCGTGTGTGTGTGTGTGTGTGTGTGTGTGTGTGTATATATATCTATATATAGATATATATATGTGCTCATCCTGTATTGTACACTTCAGTTAGGTTAGCCTGCCTCCACCCCTCGGCTCAGCACAGCCAGGCTGCGTTCAGCTGAGCTCTGCTCTCTGGCCGCCTGCGCTCGGTGACATCAGCCTCTAAATATGCAGTCCGTCGTAGCTGAGCCAGACGAGCTCGGGTGGCCCCATTCATCTCAAGGTGCTGTCTGCCTCCCCTCCTCTACAGCTCTAACACACACTCAGCCTGCTTGCTCACCGGCTGTCTGTGCCTCAGTTAAGGTGGGATAGATAAGAGAGATCAGAGGTGAAACAGTTACAATCCAATAGTGTCTGTCTGTTGATCTTCGATTTGTGGTACATCATCGTCTTTGTGGTTGAAGCTCTGGGCTGCTCCTCCCCAAATGCAGATTGATTACAACAGTGTTTGTGCACAGCATGTGCAATAATCCAAAATAGCTGTGGTGATTGCAGATCATTTCTGAGTGGTGAAGTTTGTAAAGACTGAAGATAAATTGTTTCACATCATATATTTGCTTTGCTTCCAGTATGTAGCTGTGCTGACCCTTCAGTGCTGAACTTAAAGAAAACAAATTCTGTTAATTATACTTTTTAACATCCTGCAACTTTATAAATGACTTTTACTCCCGTCTGAAGATATTCTCATTTTCCATATTCAGAATCAGCTCATCTGTCCGGTTGTTTCGATCAAAGTGTGTGGAAGTGTCTGTAGCTGCTCCTGCTTGTGAAGGATTATTCTTGAAGCTCATCCTCACAGCAGGCCCTGCCCACCGAACTCAGTGTTAGTTGATGGGTTTAACATCTGCAGAATGAACCAAGGCACTTTGATGTTAATTTGCATAGGAATGTGAAGGCTTCAGCCTCTGTACCACCCAACTCTTCATACCTCTGACTAATGTCTTCTCCTTGTGTTTTCCTCACATGCAGCCAGACTTGTGAATTTTTTTTCAATATTTCTTTTTGTTTGTGTCTTTCAGAATGAAGAGAAGCGTAACCTGACTTTGGGCGGCCATGTTGGATTCGACAGCCTCCCTGACCAACTTGTCAGTAAATCGGTCACTCAGGGATTTTGTTTTAACATTCTCTGTGTAGGTGAGTGTCAAACTGCAGCCTGTATGCAGCATGTGCTCGACAGAATGTGTTGTGTCTTGCATACACTTGGTGACAGAAATGTCATGTTGCAACTTCCGAACATTTCTCTACATGTTTGTTTTCTGACATGATAGAAAAGCACAGGCCACCCAGGTGTTGTCTTTAAAAGCCACGTCTGAAAGCCGATGAATTCCTCCCCTGAGACTGACTCACCTAACTCTCTCGCTCTCTCTGTCTTATCTCTCTCTGGTTGCTGCCATCCGCAGGGGAGACTGGTATTGGCAAGTCGACGTTAATGAACACACTTTTCAACACCATGTTTGAGAACGAAGAGGCGAGCCATTACCAGAACGGCGTGTATCTGCGGCCAAGAACTTACGACCTTAAAGAAAGCAACGTCCACCTCAAACTGACGATTGTTGATAGTGTTGGCTTCGGTGATCAGATCAACAAAGAGGACAGGTGAGCACAGTGAAATGGTAATAGATGATGTTAATTGTGACGGGACTAGACGATACAAATAACCTGTGTCAACATCAGCCCATAGTTGCCGTACTAATGAGAAGCTAGTCTTTATCCTGGAGCTGTTTTCAGATATGAAATCAGTGCATGTTAATAGGGGGCTGGCAGGAAAAGTTCCAGAAAATGTCAGGAGCAACTGACTTGGACATTTGCGTTCTCACATACAGCCTCTGGAAAATGAAATGAAAATGTGATGATGATGACTTCAGTTCATGTCTGGAAGCAGCTTAGTCATTGAAGTAAAACAAAGAATAAAATGTTGAATGATTTAATTTAAATATAATTTAGATGTCTAAAAATAACCTTCAATAAATTTAACCCACTTTTAAGCCAAACTCAGAGGTTTCGATCAACAAAACCAAACCATCCATGATGAAGAAGACATTGTGCATCTGACCGACATTGTCATTTATTGCCTCAGGACTGTTTTGATATATTCTGATAAATAATATTAATTATTTTGGCCAGATGTGTAAATACTCAGAGCACAGATTTTGCTGTCTATCTAAATCAAACTTTCCTTTTAAAAATCCTCACTAGTTGCAAGATGACACTGCTGTAGTTTTGCCTAAATTAGATCCAAGGGATGAAAATTAGAGAAACAGATAAAGACCAACATCAGTCCAGAATTCTGCACATTCTCCTTTTCTCAGTAGGATGAAAATAGGAAGAAGTGGAGCAGCAATAAAGAAGAAATAGATTTTATTATCCTAATCTAACATTCAGCTGTGGAATGGCATGTTCTTGTTGTGACCTATCCAGCAAGCAGCACTCTCACGCCCTTTGATAGCAGCTTTCTCTGCTGGCCGTATAAAATCAACATGCTGAAGGACAGACTCCTGCAGCCGACTGTAAATGCACACAGAGAGAGCTCCCAAAGGTCAGAGTTGGTGCATTCCACAGAGAAGATTGAAGATACATGCGATGGGAGTGAACAGACGACTGTTAACATGGTTCTGGCTGAGGATACAGAAGCATTGTTTACTTGAATCTCACTCTCAGCTAAATAGAACATGGAACGTGATAATCAAGACGGTTGGTTGTTAATTTAGGTTATGACCATTGAACAAGATCATTGTTAACATGGAAACATGTCAAAAGATCTTAGTAGTAAGCAATAATTTTGGTTTACTGTTGTCACTCGTTTATAAATCAAAGATCTGATTCATGTCCGTAACTATGAGTTTGACACAATGAACTCTGTAATTGTTGATGTTGTTTTCTTTCTCTGGTGTTTACATTGTTCTAGATTAGACAAAGAAACCACTCAACCCAATGTAGAAATATAAAAAGTTACACATTGGCTTGCAAATCTCACCACTGGGAGTTGGAGTAAATGTGAAAGCAGAGGTGACACCAGCTGGAATCAATGAGACTGAGGTATTTGTGTCGTGGCCAAGCACAGCAACGTGATAGAGACCGACTGATTTATGAGTTGGCTGAAAAATATGAGCCTTTCAGACATATTGGTATCAGGGTTGATGTTTGCTATAATGCAAACTTTTATTNATGGTTTTTAAAGTTAAGCTGTAAAAGATCATGTTTTTATTAAGCCTAACCCTTATTTGTCATAAGGCGCTGATAACATAATGTTGTATATATCAGCCGATATATAGTATATGTATATGTTTTACTCCCTTATTTTGGTATCGGCTCCTAACAATGTTTATCGGTCGGGCTCTACAACATAAGGAATCCACATCTGTGCAAGAACTAGAGCAGCGTCTGTTGGAAACATAATTTTGATGTTGCGCTGCTGGAATCGTGGATAGTAAACAAGTTTATTGAACATCTCCAACACAGATTATTACAAACGCAGAGATAAATTGTCTGAAAATGCCATTTGGTTTAGTGACTTGAATCTATGGTGACAAACAATCAATTCACTTGAAAGAGACTTGCATTCAGGCAGCATTGTGCAGTTTATTAAATACGTGGCTAATTGTTTAATGGTTGTTAAATCCCCCTTTAATGTGTCTTAAGTAAATCAACTAAAGCTGCAGATTTCAAGTCTAATGTGAATGTAATCTGAAACATCTTTGAACCGTCTCGTATCCCTTCCTGTTAGACTGGTGACTGTTGTGCTGTTGAAATATATTAAAAACAACTTACAGAGACAAACTGTGCTGCTGCATTTGCAAGCATAATTTTATCATTTGTAATAATCACTTAATCATTTGCTATTTAGTCACAGATAAACTTGATAATTGCTGCAGTGAGAGAGAAGTGCAGAATCAAACGGCTCTTACAGTCTGGCCTAACTGAATTGTCTTGTTTTGATTTACTCATTGCAACTAGAAGTGTGTTAACAGTGCATCCAAATGGAAAAAACTAAAAATATTCCTTAGGAAACACCAGCAAGAGACAGTTGTTTCTGTCATTTTAGGAAATATGATTGTATTCATCCCAGCTGATAATAATGTTTCTGAATGTTTTCTGAATCAGAAATCCTGACATGTCCAGAACAGTGAATTTTTAATTGGACTTTTTGACAGATGTTTTTGAAATCTACTTTCAAAATAATAACTGCTGTATCTAAAGATGTTATTTTTGGTTCATGTCATAGAGAGCTCATACGAAAATATAAGAAAAGTTACTGTTGATACTGTTGAGTCCGCAGGTCATCACAGTGCTGTGAGAGCAGACAGGATATTTTGCAGCCTCTGTGATTTGTTTCATCCAGACTCCCATATGCAGGACATAAAGTTCATACAGCACTAAGCTGTACAACTCTAAGCTGAAATCTTGGCATAGAATCAGTTTGCATAGTTTCTGCAAACATAACTGTCTCCAGTTCATTTCCCAAGTGACGAGTCCATATTATTACCAGAGCACAAACAAGAGTGCAGATACATTTTTTTGTGCTTCACCAAAGTCGTAAATCCTCATGGTTCTCTCCTTGGCTGTCTTCTTCACAGCTACAAGCCCATCGTTGACTACATCGACACTCAGTTTGAAAACTATCTCCAGGAGGAGCTGAAGATCAAGCGCTCGCTGTTTAACTACCACGACACCAGGATCCACATTTGCCTTTATTTCATCGCCCCAACAGGACACTCCCTCAAGTCTCTGGACCTTGTCACTATGAAAAAACTGGACAGCAAGGTACACACAACAGACACACAAAAACACATCCATATGTTTATATACGTGCTATTCTTTTCCCCTTTGGCAAAAAGCACACTCACACCCCGAGTCAGTTCCCATTGAGTGTGAATAGTATCAGTCTACCGAAACCTGATCTCCCTTTTACTGGGACCAGTGTGCGTTTCACTGAGACAAGGATATCCTTGATCCCTGAGCAAGGGTGTGGACCCTGTGTCCTAAAAGAACAAAGCTGAAAAGTAAAACGTTTCAGTGAACTGAACGTGCAAAGCTTCCATTTCAGCGCATAGGATTTCATGACAAGTTCACATGCCGTTCTTTGGAGTGAACTTTGGCTGTTTCTGTGGAAAAAGATTGAGGTTTGGACGCCAACAGTTATATCCAGATATTTGGGAAGACCTGTTGAGGAGGCAGATGTGTCACATTTTTTATGTCTCATCCATAAAATAGAAATGCATTCAAGATAGAACTCATCAGTTATTGTTGTAATGCATCCTTGTTATGCTGTGTTCCGCTTTGACATTTTCATAGGACAACACAATGCTCTATATGAGTCAATAGTCACATTCAGAGTCATATTGATTTCTGACTTTTTTTTATTGCTCTTGTGAGTATTACTACACAGCTTATTGGTCAGTGGTTTCGTGTTTTGCCATACACTCAATGAGTGCAGCTCACTGGAGACACCATCACTGGCGTGGCCTCAATTAGACAACTGGTGGGAAAAATCTCATCACAACAACACTTGGGGCATGACAGAGGGGAGGAGGGGTGAGAGTAAGGCTTGGAAAACAAGGGAAATATAAAGTCTAAGCTGCAGCCATTTCATATTTTAATGTTGTGGAAAAAACGATAGTTAAAAAACGATAGTTGTTCTTTGCTAGGGTTTCTCTTGAATTCTTCTATTAAAGGTTTAGTTCCACCATATTTCTTTACAACACACATAAAGTCTACCTGTTGACATTTTGTAAAAAAAAAAGATTCAAAGCTGCTCAGTGCCTTAAACACAGCTAAACACATTCAGAGTGATTCTTCATCTTCAATCATGGTGTCAAAGTTTGGTCAGTGTGGAAAACACATGTTTACTTTATTTCTGTATGCAACGGATACACAATGAGAGAAAAATAGATCTATCACTATTTTCAAGATCAGGAACTGAGACTTGAACTGAGAGAACTGAATGTAAAGTAAAGTAGCATCTATTTTCTTCTTGCTACATCCTCGAAATGTCCTTGACTGAGTGAGTGCTCTGTGACGCTGACTGAAGTTACATCATTGGTCGAGTTTTGTTTTCCCATTGGCCATTGCTCTTTCAAAATAGATTTGTGCTAACAGTTTGTATAAGATTTACAGGCCATTTACTGCCAAGTTAACATTGGTTGCCAGATTTCCAGACTTTCCCTGACTTCTTTAGTGACTTTTTTTTAGAAAGCACCCAGCAACAAATTTATCGACTTCTTTCTGGGGAAGACAGTCGCCAGTGCCGCCCTTCGAGTGAGAATTGGACCTTTCTCTGTGTCTATTCTCCTCAGCGATTGGCAGAGAGATGCAGTTTGTTGCCCAGTCTGAGGCTGTGCGCAGTGTCAGACACAAAAGTTCACACATGCACCGCATCTCTGAACTTTTCTAGACATCACCCGGAGTAGTTGTGTGTGTCATCACACATGTCAGATGAATTTTACATCAAACAGACTTTACCCTGCCGGCTCCATAGCCCAAAATGTGCAAACAAATAAAGCAGTGAAACCAGCTGACACGAGGCAGAATGTAATTATTTTGCAATGATGACATGGAAATGCTAATTGGTGTATTGCATTTGTACAGCAGCCACATTGTCAGTTTTGCTCATTGAATAAACAAGGTCCAGCTATATACTAGGTTTTTGTTGCCTTTGTATGTGTTTTTGTGCATACACTTGGTTACATCCATCCATAAAACTGTGCCACGGTTGAATTTAAATACATTAGTCAAATTGATTTACTGCTCCCTCACTCTGAGGGTTTTGCTTTCTGCCCCCACAGTCCTTCAGTGTGTTTGCATACGATACATCCACTAATAGCCCTGTGGTAGGAAGGACAAAGTGGCAGCTTTAGTCCTGTTTGTGTCTGTTGATGCAATGATAATAAATCCAGAACAAAGCAGATGGTCAGCTTGTGATGGAAACCTGCTGGCTTACCTCTGCCAACTGTCAACGCACGGCTGCGCATCTCTGCCACGTGTCTCCTGAAGCTCTTCAAAATAGTGACCCAGCTACCTCACTCAACTCACTCCACAGGGACAGTTCATAGTTTTTTTTAGCAATCCAGGAAAAAAATTTAAATGTATTGCACAGTGTGTCTTTGGAGTTATTTGTAATGTTTTAACTCACAAATTCTTTATAATAATCTTAACATTCTTAAGTCTTAAGATAATACGTGATGATTTTGATTTATGACGTGAGAGGAAACCTACATAAACCCAACGATGGCTGTGAGATTCAAATTCAGGCCGTTTCTTGCTGTGAGGTGACAGTGCTGCTGACCACAGAGCCTCTGTGCCGTCATTACCAGCCAACAGAGCGATCAAAACCTGCCACCACGTGTTTGCCAACTGGCTCCTGACACCATCCAAACCTCCACAACACACACAGCCAACTCTCTGAATCCCCTGCTTTGGACCAAGTCATGGTTTCTTTCCTGATCCAAATATATATAATTTTGATTCCTTTTTATATGAACCAGAGAAAAAGCAGTTAACACAAGTTAAATGTGTTTGCTATCGGACAGCAGCTTACCTGTGATACTCTGCAATAATATGAGTGGGAGAAAAGCTGCTTACTGCTGCTAAATGCCCCATGAACCGAACTCCAGTGTGGCTATTAAAGACATTTTTAATATTCACTGTTTTACAGTTGCACGGCATCAGAAATTGTTGATACTTTTAAAGTGACAGCAGGCCCTTCTATCTAAAGTGATTTACAGCGTTGTGCAACAATGGACTCAGTTTTTAGCCTCAGTGGGTGGCCTCAGTGTGAACACCGCTCTGACCTCAGTGACTCTGTCCACGCAATCTTTCCACAATGTGCAGTATATGACCAGTGTTTTATCTGAAACCAGGCCAGTGTTGAGCGACCACAGTGTGGATGTGACAACGTTTTGTTTGACTCGCTTGTTGACACAGTGGTCTCTCTTACAGATTGAATGTTTTGCATTCAGTAAATCCTGCAGATACTCATCACATCAGCATTTGCCCTGTTTGCAGTTTTATTTCTGTATCAAACTTTTGTCTACAGGTTGACAAAAGAAAGTTGCCCAACCAAGTGTTGTTTCCGCAACTTATTTAACATTGATTCATCATACTGGTTATTTTTCAATGACCTGATTCACTGTTGTGTCTGTGAAATGGTTGCAATAGTTAAAAGTAGCTTTCTGTATTCACAGACCCCAAATCCACAATTTAGGTCTGTAGATATAAAACTGAGAAAATCATCAAAGAAGAAGAAGAAATAGGATTGATGACAAACATTTCTGTTGATCAGCTTGTTCGGTTACTAATTTTTGCTTTCTGTGCTGAATCCTCGTCAGTGGAAGCATTACTGTGTGAATATTAGCATCAATCTGGACACTAAAGATAAAGGAACAGATCCTGTCCTGTCTGCCAGATTGCCCTGTCACAGGAAAAGCAGAGGAAGCTGACCAGGAACCGCTTTCCCCTCAGACTGAAGATTTGTTGTGAAAGGCTAGACAATAGTGTTTTTCTTGTTATGAATCAATACTCTCCACAGAGGACGGTAGAAGGCCCAGTAGAGCAAGTGTGGTTTGTGTTGAATTAAGATTTTCCTTGAAAAAGAGGAAACCATTTTTTGTTTATTATCCAATATTATGATGCAGAGGATTCAGTTTGTAAATGCCATTTGAAAAAAAGAGTTGATATTTTCCTACCACCCTCTGATTTTGGTGGGTAATGTCAATAGATCAACTTTGAATTTGTGGAGAAAATGATCCAATTAACAAAACTTGCCCGAGGATCATCACACTTTTTAATTATCAAAGTAACAGTCACCTTCATCAAGAATGATATATATTAATTCTACCAGTTTTCCATAATGTAAAGAAACCAGCAATAAATTTGCCTTAAGTTTTCATCCACAGCTATCTATCTATCTATCTATCTATCTATCTATCTATCTCCATGACAACATTGTACTCAGTGTTTACGTCCCCTGTGGCCTCCAGACTATGGGAAATGTAGTTAAAAAAGAGTTTTTTTCCCACATATTTTTGACATAACTAAGGCTCAGAACACTGATGTTTTCCTCAGTCTGTTCATATAAGATAAAAACAAAAGGTGCCAGAAATATCAAGCCACTGTGTGATTTTTATTTTTCTACTGATTGTCTTACATGTGAACTGTTTTGATGTGGTCACAGCTGCATTACTGGCGTCCTCTGTTTCTCAGAACAAACACTGAGTACTTTTTTAGGAATATCTTTGGCCAGCTGGGAAATCCTGGTTATGGGAAATCAGCAAATATCACTAACCCGTCCCTCCAAAGACAATTTTTACTCCACTGAATTAAAGCAATTAATAAAGTTGGTTTATTTAATAAGGGATGCAACGTGATACTAGCTGACCTGCTGTAAATTAATGATCCAGATAAGTATGATGAGCCTGTAATCTGACTTGTAACAAGCACTGGCTCCTGCTCTGAGAGGCACAGTATGGAATTGATGAGTGAATCTGCAGGAATCCTCCCCCATCCCCCCCTGGTTAGAGATTTGGGTAATGCAGCCACACAGAGGAATGCAGACCCACTGTTTGTTTCTGTACATCTGCAGCTGGTTGGACATGGAGCCTAGTTTGTTTTCATAATCACTGTTTGTTTAATTTATCCATTGGGGATTCGACTGAGCTTATTTTTAATGTATAGTTTAGCTGCATATGATCTTTTTCTTCCTCAGACATGTTCGGTTTGTGTTTTTGATGATGTTGTAAATTAGCTTTTTTTACAGTGTTTACTTTAGGCCTGTACCTACTTAAAGGTCCAGTGTGTAAGATTTAGGTGAAAGGGAACTATTGGCAGAAATTTAATGTAGAATAATTCTCATGATGTGAGGAGACTTGGTGAGGAGTGTTCAGCTGCAACATGCAATTTCAACACTAGATATCATAAAGTTCTACACACTGTACCTTTAAAAATCTTGCCGGTGAAATCAGATTCGGCTGATCAATATGAATATTTGACGATTTGTTCCTTTATTCATTTTGAATCTAAAGCAACAACAATAACAATCAGGCGAAAAGCCAATTTATAAATTAGTGAAAACTTGTGGTTTGTTGTCTGTGCATCTTAAAATTAAAAATTGTCCTGTCATCGAACCAGGTTTAACAAAATAATCACGTAAAAATAAAACTGTTTGTGACACATATCTGAGCCAACTCTTAGCTCTATATTTTTCTTATCCTCTCCTCAGGTCAACATCATTCCCATCATTGCCAAAGCGGACACAATCTCCAAGAGTGAGCTCCATAAATTCAAGATAAAGATTATGAGTGAGCTGGTGAGCAACGGCGTCCAGATATATCAGTTCCCAACCGACGACGAAACAGTGAGTGAGATCAACGCCTCCATGAACGTAAGTAATGCTGCTACAACCCAGAAACACTCACACACTCAATCTTTTTAATAGACTGAACACACCAGCATATGTGTTTTGTTTGGATGATAACAAAATAATAGTTTTTTAAACCTTTTACATTCGTCTCAAAATTGCTTTATTGTACAGGATTGTGTTTTTAAGACTTGCACTCTCAGGCACCAGATGTGTTACACATGTGGTGCCTGAGAGTGCAAGTCTTAAAAACTGGTGATGGCAGCATGTGCTGACGCTTTTTTATTGACTTTTAACATATGTGCTCAACTTTAATGTTATAGAGACACAAATCTGTAACTATGTACAAAGGAAAAAAACACTAAAAATATTTCCAAATACAAGCTGTTCCTCTGCATGTGCGTGGAC